GGTCTTTTTTGCTCTCCATTGAAAGAAATTTTTGTCGGAATCTTTTGAAGTTAATATTTTTTCCCTTTTTACAAAAATGAAAACGTCAGTCACTTAGTGTCCCACCTGAACTTATCCATCCAAAGAAATAACTTTTGCATGCATAGCATGCCTACAATAAAGGATGACTGCGACTTAAGGAAGCCCAACTGAAAAAATCTCAAAAGTGACCCTTCAATTTGGGATAAAATACTCTTTGCAGGAAAGACCTAATCTTTATCTTTCAAATTCGAAACTCAAACCTGCGGGTATCTTTCTGTGAAGAAGGCAAGAGACAGTTGATATAACTCGAATCCTGTAATGTTTACAACAAAAGTCCAACGGTCACGCTTTAAATAACACCAACTCGACAGTAATAATTTTAGGAAAAGGGCACAAAAATATTTATTGTAAAAGCTTTCTGAATTCGGCTTCTTTGATTAAGAGATGGCTTTTCAGTTTGGTGTATGAAAAACCCATGATATTGGCCAACTGGAGGAAAGGCAATACTTGACAAATACAAGTTGAGCACTACAATGGGTTCCATTTTGGTAACACACCCTTTTTTTTAACGTCTAATTTGGGGGCTGAGGTTGAACGTTCTTTTTTATGCAATTTGAGTCTGAAAACTTTCTTAAGATGTTCTGAAACTTTTATTATTACGGACTAAATTCGACCACAATCTGAGTTGTTCTTCAGTTTATCGTACAACAATAAAAACCGCATTCTTAAGTATTTGAGTTTATTGTCCTGTTTGACCACAGTTTAACATTTCTTTTGCCTTTATTTATTCTTCTCTTTAAAAAAAAGATAAAAAAGATGAGCAAAATGAAAAAGTTCTCAACTGACTCTCAGCCTGGGTATGTTCTAAGAATGTTTTAAAAATTTGGGCTAATCTCAGCCTAAACGTTCCTATTAAAAAAGGTTCTTATAAAAGAAAAAAAAGGATCTAGTACTTGGAACTTAATTAATATTGGCTTCCATCCTACACGTAGCATATATATAGGCCAGACTGGTAAGCCCTCCTCATAATCTTGGAACTTCAGGTGGCTTTTCACAAAAAAAGAAGGCAAGAGAAGTTTGAAGTTAATGTAACTGTAACACTTTAATATAATTTTAAGCAGCGATGTCTATTTAACTGTCACAGGAGAGTTATCAACCAAAGCCACTCACTAGTGAGTAGAGCAGATATTCTGCATCCCATGTTGCAGACATCTTTTTAGTGAGATTGGCCATAAAATTGTATGCTAATGGGCTACTAAAATTTAACTTAAGACGTAGTTTGTTTGCGCAACCCTCTGATGTTGGTTTCACAATGCTTGATCAATAACAGCTCAATTCAACCACTTTAGTTATAAATTTTTTTGTTAAAATCATTATGCAAAACTCTCTCATTGGTTTTGCTTACACTCCAGAAATGAAGCACTCTTAGTTAGTGTATACTAAAATCCACCTCTGGAATTATCGATGATCAAGTGTAAGAGACTTAAAAACGGTAAAAATTCTGGATATAACCCTGAGCTCATAATTTCATAGGAGCTTTTTGTTGGAAAGAAGATATTGACCAATTAAAAACTAGTTAGGCCTACAAATGGATGGCAAATTGCTTCTAATATTTTGCAAAATACATATAACAATACTGCATTGTATATATTTATAACTTAACAAGGCCGGATCAGTGGTTACAAGCTACAATGCAATACTGGCTGAAACTACACCCTTTAACCAAACAGTAATGATATGGATAAAAAAAAATTCTGTTTAGTCATATTAAGAATATTGGCGGGTATGTAAGGTCTACAGAGCTTACTATCAGGATGTATAAATTTGAGAATTTGGTAGCTTATATTGAGGTTGGGTACTTTAATATAGGCTTATATCCAAATGTTCAGGGTGTATTTTTTATAACAGTATAACCCAAACATTTGCAGGAGCCTTAGATCCTGGCGGATTATACAATTCACTAAAACTGTAAGCGCAGGAGTATTTATAAGAAGTCTTGGTAGGGCTCACCTTCGGTAACAGTGATTACGTGATGAGAATCTATAGAAACTTTTTAAAATGATTGATAAAATAAAGGGAAGCTCTATTACTTTTGAAGAAAATTGAGGCAACTGGAACATACTATTTGCCTTTGAATCAGGAGACCCACACAAACTTTGACTATTAGTAATTTTTTTAAATATTGGGAAATGCAAAGCAAAACACCCCTTAACTATCATAATATTAGCAATTATGTCCAACATCATAACGAATATACTAATTATCTCAGTTGTATTTTGTTGTCCTTGCAGCTCTTGGGGTGAAATTTTAGCAAGGTAACAGGGTAGTCATTAAGGGCAGGGGACCAGGGAGTTTCCTTAGCGAATATGAAGTTGACCACTGGCCACTTTCATAGAGGATAGAATAAAAATAGAACCAAAAAGGAAATCCCTAGCTGCTTAATTTCCTGCCTTCTTTCTGTAGTTACCCAGAAACTTGAGATCTTTGTGACAGCCCTGAGATTGGAAGAGTTTGGCAAAACAGTAGGTTACCTTGCACAGGATTAGTTATACTTTGAGATAACAAAAACAGAACGATTCTATTAGTTATACTTAGGGGCAAGAACCTGCTTTTTCTTGTCAATCTGATTTTTCACAAAGTATTAAACAGCATGCCGGTCCTTAAGTTGTTTGTATTTTAAAAGCAAGTGTTGCACTAAATGCACCATTTGCTTTTAAAATACAATTCTAAAAGTTTAGTTTTCTCAATAACGTCATTGTTTGACAAAGTTAAATATGTGATGCCAAACCCTTTCAATTGGTTATATCTTAATACTCCAATCAAGAGCTAAATAGAGCACTCTTAGTTTGTGTAATACTGAAATCTACCTCCATAATTATCAATGACTGAATTTGAGAAAGTTGAAATAATGTAAAAATTCTGGACACAACCCTAAAATCCTATTTTTAAGGAAGCTTATTTTTAAATTTTGTCCAATTATAAAATTTTGAGTTGGAATTACAAGTGGATAACATATTGATTCTAAGACTTTTAAAAGTTTTGATGTCAATACTACAGTGTATATCATTTTACACTTGACAAAGCCAATTTAATGGAGGATTGGTGGCTTACACTTTGGGTGGGGTATTTTGGGATTGGCCTATATCCAAAAATTTATGGTAGAATATAACATATTCTATTTGTCGTTGAATCACAGGGTATCCACGCAAACTATGACGGTAAGTTTTTTTTTAAAATATTGGAGATGTTTGGAAACAGCAAAATACCCCTTAATTATCATGAATTACTGTTTTTTGTTGTCCTTGCAGCTATTGAGGTTGAATTTTAGCAAGGTATTAAGGGTTGTCATTAAGGGTGGGGAAAAAACTGAACTAATGTCAATATGATTCTTAACAAAATATTTAACAGCATGCCAGTCCCTACCATCTAATGCACCATTTGCTTTTAAAATACAGTTCTTACAGTCCAATTTTCCCGTAAAGCGTCTCTCTGACAAATGAACTATAAAAACTGCCTCCTTCTCTTCTTCTGTACATAAAACATGGGCATCTTACTCTGTAAAGAAAATCAAAATAAGCATAACAAGTAAGCTTTCAGCTAAAACTTACTCCTCTTATAATTATAACATTTTCTCTACTTACTCTTTGACTTTGACATTCCCCGGTCCACATTTTCCATGTCCATGTGACTGCTGCGTTTTTCGGGGGGGGAGGGTTGATTTCTTTGCAAGTAGTCCCCGTAAGTAACTGTGTATTAGCATGTCGCCACAAGAATGGAAAGTAGTCCCCATAAGTAGTTGCGTGTTAGCATGTCACCATAAGTACGGCAAGTAGTCCCCATTAGTAGCTATGTAGAGCTTTTCCCTTTAAAGTGCCTATGACACGAAATTTTGAAATTTTTTATTTTGCATTTTCTGGTTGATAGCTGTATTTAAAATTAGAGATCATTAACCATAGCGCTTAGCGAGTTCTCCTTGACCAATTTTTTTGTGCATTGAAAGTACGATTTGGCGGCCAAAAAGTGTCGCCACTAAGCGAGCGGCCAAAATCATGTTATATAGCTGTGACGTAGAAAACTGTGAAGACGCGTAAGCAATTATGGTGGAGAAAGGAGAAATATAATAGAGAGGAAGAACATAGTGCGTGGCTGGAGCGCCAAATGATGTTCGCACCAAGAATAATACACATAAACCGGGCATTTATATACACTACTTTCCAAATGATGTAGCTGTATGGCCAAAATGGACGCTTTCGATCGTCGACATCGAGGAGATTCTACTCTTTAATGTCGTCGGCCTTATTCTCCGTACCGGCTTCGAAGACGCCTGTTGCGAACACATACCACAAATCAGGGTAAGATAACCGATGAATTCAGCTAAAACGAATGCTGATTAAGGGCCCTGTTTCCACACTATACACGATTGTTCAACATTCTTTCCGGCTGACATTTCGCAAATGAAAAATGGTGAGCTCCTTCTTGATGTTTATTTCACGCGCTTGAGATGTACTCACACTTTTTGTCTTTCCACATGACTACGTTTGCGCTTTTCTTATCGTATGAATATCATACCAATTGTAGTTTCCATCGTATTTTGATAAAAGATTTACATCAATTGTAATGAAGTTCAAGCCCTTTCCTGAGCTGACCGATATCCTGTTGCGTGAACAGTGCGCAACCTCTGACGGATACTGGCATAAAAACAAGCTTAAAGGGGCCGTGTATTCTCCTAACCTAGGTTTCCGAAAATCCATCTCACGAGCTATCAATTCCCCCCTACCCTCAAGAAACCAAAAGTAGCAATATTAGCAATTTCATTGGGATAACAGCACCGCAACGATATAAATAAGGAAACACAAATTTTATTGAATTAGATGGTAACGAATTCAAGTGCCGTATGAAAGTCGATGCGTACGAAATATTCATTAATAATACTGATGTCAGTTATTTCCTTTGTGCGGAATGGGTCATATGGCAATGCTGCACTTAAACTAAATAAGGTTTTTTTCTATTAAAATGCCTATATGAGATTAACTTGAATCAGATGACTATAAACTCACTCGTTTTCCTTTCGGTTTGACCGGCTCGACGACCGTGACCATAGCCTCTGCCTTTGCAATCTATGGGAGAAGGAGCAACTTGCAGTAGAACTGCCCGATTACTCCTCGGTGGAAAATCATCGTGCCTCGTGATACAACTGATTCTTTCTTCAAAAGTTAGCTTTTGGTTTACCAAGGGAATTTCTCTACAGCAACGAAACACTAGAGCACTGACCGAGAGGAACCTAATAATATTGTCGCATGTAGTGCGTTGCCGAATAAAATGTTATTGCAACAGAAACGAACAGAGCTATCCACAAAACACAAGCGCAGCAAACTAGACATTCAGTAACGGGAATTTTTGTTCTAATCTTGACCTAAACAACGCAAGCGGGAAACTGCCTTTGTCAGTCTTCGTAGAAATCTTCGTTTGATGCAGCACGGTTCTCCTTCTTAGGGCTGAACCGTACTCGCAACTTTCATTTCTTCTTTATAACTTGAGTACGATGTATTAAAACTCTCGGTAGAGCTTACTTAAGGTAGGTAGACATCGCTATCGGTCGTTATTTCAAAATTATTTCAGCGCTGACTTATACAAAATTGCAAGAGATGTGAAAGGTATTTTGGTGTCGACTGAGAGTTTTCACAGTTTTCTACGTCATCAGCCGCTAATTCGTTACCAGTCCACGGGACACTTTTAAGACAAAAGCACTTTAGGGCCCGAAAAAACCGAGTTTTAAGTCTGGGACTATTCTTCAATCGGAATTGGTTTGTACATATGATAAGCTAAATATTTACGCAAAAAAATTCGTGTCATAAGCTCTTTAAGAATGGCAAGTAATTCCCATAACTAGTTGTTTTAGGATGTCCCCATAAGTATGGCTGGTAGTCCCCATAAGTAATTGTTTTAGCATGCATATCCCCTTATGCACGGGAATCTACGAACGCGTGGCCGCCATTTTGAAAAAGTGACCGATGTACCCTGGGACGAGGTTGGCAGCTAAGCATGAAACGGTCTAGGATCGCTTCCTAGTGTAGTTCAACTTGGTAAGTGACCGATCTTTCCTCTCTCTTTTTTAACATAGTTAGCACCTTAAACGTGTTTGTGAAGAACAAAAAAATGTGTAGTTTATGGCTCTCAAGAACAATATAGACAGAAGAACAAGAGAAATTAGTTATGAAATTGAAACCACCTACAATCTTGTACTCACCATTTCAGTCATTTTCCGCCAGTGTTTTCCTTGTGAACTTTCTTGTTTCACCTTGACCGACTGTAAGAAGAAGCTTGCTCACTTTGGAAATTTCAACTGCAGATTCGTGAAGACAGTAGAAGTCTCCATGCACTTGGATTTCATGACCAAGGTGTCTTGCTTAGTCGGTCTACCTCTGTTCCTTTGAGAGAGACTACTTGGGAAATGGTTGCCATATACTTTCTGAGTTTGGTACTGGCTATCTCTGTAAGGTTTGACAGAGGTGGGTCGCCTTCCATAGCAAATTTGACTGTCTGTTTGACCTAGCAACTATTAAATGGATTTTCATCTGGAATACCCACGGCTTTCCTTGTCTTGTTGAGGAGGTCGATGCTGTTTTTCACCTCAGGTGTCAAAATTACTGTTACCGTCCTGCCCCACTTACTACGAATCTCAACTATGTCTGATCTGTTTTAAAAATATGATAATTAAAACATAAATTACGTTTACTCAAACAATATTTTACAAACTCAAATTATAGAAATTCCCCCCAAGGTATTAAAATATAAAAAATGAAATAGAAATATTTTCTTTTTAATGGCCCAAAAAGACATTATTAGCATCAGAAAAACACGTCATTATGCTGAACATTTTGAAGACTTCATAAAATGTTCTCACTGTCTTTGCTGTAATTGTGATATCATGACATCAAGATGTGCAATGTGTTACCCAGTCAGGGTTGATAAAAATATCAAGGAGAAGGGGGCAAGGCTAAAAAGAATGACTTTCCGGATTTAATTTAGAAATTAGAAAGCTAAAATAGGCAAAAAAAAAATAAAGAACCAAAAAAAAAAGGAAAAACCGAAAAAGTATCGATGTAACAGCATGAGACTCTTTAATATTATAGTACATTTTTGCAATCATAATATTATCATTCCACAGATTTAGCCACCAGTTAGATCTACCCTTCCTGGTTTCATTGTTGTTGTCAGGCAATGTTTTTGGTCAGTCAGTTTGAGTGTCTTAAAGAAGCTCAATTCCAGAATTTTCTTGACATTTTCCTTGATAACTGGAGACTTTGTTGAAGTTAGAGATAAAAATACGACTTAAATAAGATTTGGACTAAGATAGGGCAAGCATGCTATGTTATAAGCATGTTTAAAAGTATTATTATCATAATAATCATTATTACCTGACACAGAATGAAGGACTTTTTCAGGTGCATTGCTCTGTGATGCATTATTCCACCGTTGTAAGAAGAAGGAACTGGAGATGTAGATTTCTTTCCCCTTTGAATTCAAGAGGAAAAATAGTGAGTTATGCTGAAAGTCTTGTTTATGGCAAGACTGGAACAAATAAAAAAAAAACTTAATTACTATAATTTGAAACTTCTAAGCTGGGAAAGCATTATAAGTATATATGTCCCAGTGGAAAAAAAAAGAAGTCGATGAGAGATTCCTGGGCCCAGTTGTTCAAAGGCCAATAAGCATTAACCCAGGGTCAAATTTTTATCCAAGCTTCTTTATTCCTTCTTTCAAAAGCCTTTTTTGGATAATCTTCTCTTTTCTTTTCATAGCATCCAATTTTTAAATTGGAGACAAAAAGAATTGTATTGAATTTTCATTTAAAGCTTTCAGATCTGGAACCAGATTTCACACTAAGCCTGGATTATCTAAACCTAGCTCTGAACAACTAAGCCCGAAAAAGGATTTGGAAACCCCCCCTTACAGAAATTCTTTGCAATAAGGGAGCATGATCAGTTCAGTATACAAAAGTGTAAGTAAGTGAGAGTAGAACATGACCTGTCTGTGGAAATTTGACTGAAGCAGTTATACAAAATGGGCAACGTTGGTTGAGCAAGGACAACTACTGTGGAACTGAATGGCCAGATTAAGAGATGATCATATTGTTCAAGATACGGGCCAGACAAAAATCACTCCAAATTAAAACAATCCAACCAGTCAATAAAATAAATCTGAGTAGTTTAAGATTGATCACTAATTGTGTTATTGTACTAGTTAGATGTTTCTTTCCAGTTTGTATCTCCCTTACAATGCCATTTCGTAAAATGATACTCTCTGATAGACCTGTGTGGCAAGTGGTCGCTTATTTCAGCATAACAAGTTCCTTTTCCTTCAAAATATGTCAGGTAATTGCTTTATATGTGGCTATCAATATAAATTTAGTGACTACCTTTAAATTAAGCCAAATTGAAAGGCAGAGATTCTAATTATTCGATTGCTTTGTAATTCGCTTCATCGTTTACCCAGCATTCCTTATCACACAACCCAAGTTTCCACTCGTGACATTGCTGCAAGGAGTCTGCAGATATTTAGTTATTCTGATTCATGGAGGAAACATCCTTAGTTGTTTTGATATTTATCTGGAATTGTTCATCAACATCAGCCATGTTGTTGCTCTCGTTCATATTTTGTTCTTTGTTGCGTTGCACCTTACTCTCAACTTTGCCATCTTTTACTGGCATCTTACCTTCATTAACTACATGGTTAAGAAAAAGGAATGTAACAGTTTTTTTCTTGTTTTGTGATAATCATTATTTCTTAGTAGAGCCAAACTTCATTTAATAACTTCAACTCTTCTATGTCAAAACCACCATCTTTTGACGCATTAGTTCCTGGGAGTTTTGTCTGAGAATGTCTTTCGAAGCTATTCAAACCGTTTCTTTTAGTCACTTTGAGGGTCTGAAGAGCGAAAACTGTCCAAAACACCATTTATAGATACTGTTCTTTCAGATGCAAATCATAAGCTTCCGCAGTTTGGTTATGCACAAAAAGCAGTCTTACACCTTTCGCTTTTCCTCCTCCCCTTTTCTTGCACTTTTCTTACACCACTGTTTTACTTTTAGCCGTGGTAGTAATAGTTCATTGTTTTTATGATTTTTAAGGCTTTTGTTTGGTTGCAACTTACCTTTGACGTTGGAAGAGAATGTATAATGATATTTATGAAGACATTTGAAATGGCAAAAGCCACTTGCAAAAAACTCAGTGGGGATTTAATATTGGAAAACTACTTCTGTAACAGCAAAAAATATCTTTCATTTTCCAAAGAGCCCTAAGAACTGATGGGCTCAGAGTGTAAGGGACATCTGCAGTTTATATAATAGAGGGTGTGTGTATGTACATACCAGTTTCCAAGGAGTCTGCAAATAGACAGTCATTGATCTGATTCAGGGAGTAAATCTCTTCAGAATTTGTTGTTACATCCATGTGGAAACTTTCATCATTGTCAGGACTGCTGTTGCCCTTGTTCATATTTTCTTCTTTTTTGTGTTGCACCTTACTGTCCCATTCTTTAGTCCATCTGCCTTGCTCTCATTACCTAAGTGGTTAAGAAAAAGAAATGTGTAGAGTTTTGCTAATTTGTGTGAAACCAGGAATGAATAATTGGAGCCATCATCATAATCATTGTCGTCATCATTTGAAGTATTATTAAAAAAATAATTTTTAGATTGTTTTGACCAAGGACGGTATGAGTTGTCATGATATCTAGACAGATTGTATGGTATTTGCAATATTCATGTTAAGAGAGATTAATATACGTAATCATAACAGGACTGAAACGGTTTGCATTTGAGTAAATCTAATTCTGGAATGGAGAATTAAATGTTATAATTTTTTATCCTAAGGGCTATGAATGTTCCCCTAAAAAAACAAAACAAAACAAAACAAAACAAGAAAAAAAAAACGAAATTATCTTTAGAAGAGATGGGGCAAACACCCTGATAGCTTATGGGGTCCATTACACTGAAACACAAGCAAAGAAAAGAGTTGCTGCAGTTCTGTTAAGTATGACACAAGTCTCCCAAAACAGGTTATTAATGGTTAGGTTGCAATACCTTTTAGCTGTCGCCAGGGAAGATCTCTAACTTCATGGTCACAGTGTAGACCTTCACCGTTCCGAAGTCCACAAAGGGCAAGGCACACTTTGTCTTCACCGTTAATCTTTCTCATTTGCTTTATTTAATGGATTATCGTTTTTTAGTCTTCCAAGTCCAGCAGAGAATGTTGCATCAAGGCTAGAAAATCCACAAAAATCAAAGTCATAATTGGAAAAAAGCAATCTCAATTTGTTCCTTGTAAAAGTGTAGTGTAAGGTTTGATGACTTAGTTTCAGTTCTTCCTTCGGTTGTGTGGCGCAGACCAAGCCCATCTAAAATTACACAACTACTTTATTTACAATGAAACTTAAATGCAACTCATGATAAAGCCAAAAAAGTGCAAAAAAAGTACCATATATTTTGATGGTAATTTTATTTCATTTGGAGTAATATGCAAATGATGACAAATC